TGGAGACTGAGAATAAGAAATGTGGCAAGAAAGATTTCAAAATATGTGGTCAGCAATATTCAGTGCTTCATGAAGCTCAAATTGGATAGGGGCTGAACCGTCTACTGGATTTAGAATCAGGAGGTTACTAGTGATTTTAACAAAGGGCGTTTCCATGGCCTGGTGGGAATAGGAGCAAGATTACAGTGAACTGAATGATGAACAAAAGGATAAAGCATAACTACGGACTATCTTCTATCAGAGAAAACCAAACTTGAATGAAAGCCAGAAGATGAATGGAAAGACTGGCATGAGAGTGGAAGAAGGACATTTCATTTCTAAAATAGATGGAAAAGAGGTCAAGATGGATATTGATGTGTAGACAAGTTTAGAAGAAAAAGCAGGTAAATCAAAGGTGCTCTTAAGTAATAGCTTTCTATTACCCTGTGAATTTACGAATGACCAAATTAACAAGTACCCACGTTACCTGGCAAGATGGAGTTAAATACACATAGGACCAGAACACGAGCGCTGAAGGGCTCTTGTTTGATATTCCGAAACAAGGGAGCACAGAGCCTTTCAAAGATGTAGTACACATAACAAACGCAACCAAAAACCTGTAAAAAAAAAAAAAAAGAAATAATAAAGATGGCTTGATAAGGAAAGATGGAAGGTGATTTTTTTCTTCCAAAAGAAAGTACCTGTGTGACCCTTAAACTAATGTTTTCTACATGTATTCCATTTAACACTAATATATGACTGGTATAATCCTTCAAAGAGATTGCTCAAGCCTATTTTCTACCATATCTCTTCCTAACCCCTTACAAATGACGTTTTTAAAAGATCTTACTCTTAGAGACTGTTTTTCCTGCTACATGAAACCCATAACAAAAAACTTTTATTTCATAAATGGGAATTTGATTGAGACAAGAATTTACAATGGGATCTTCTGGGATTTATGATTCTGATAAGGGGATGTGGAGGAGTGGGGGAAGAGTCAGACCACATCCACACACATATCTCTTCCTCACGCCCAGAAAAAGCAGGAAGGGAGGGAGAAATTAATGTAGATGCTTACTGAAATAACTAAATAGAATTACTTTAATTAAAATAATACATTCTTTTACTAAAGAAAATTACTTTTGACATTGGCAAAACAAACACCATTTACTGTACTAGGAATAGTTTAGAAGACTTCATGGTCTCAACAGAAAGTGTTCTTGAGCTCCCAGTAGACTTAAATAGATGAAATTGATATTATAAATATAAATCCCAAACTCCCACCAATAAACACACCCTAGGCAGTTAAAAAAAAAAGTTACCTGTGCAAATTGCATAGCAACATAACCCCATCTTACAGTAGGAGTCCTAAAAAAGGAAGAAATAAAATAAGTTTTCTAAATAAATACTTGAACCTGAATAAAGACCTGCACAATTAGTATTTTCCCACACAGAACATCATTTATGGCCATATGAAATACTTACATAATTCTGTCAAGAATTATTATAATCAAATTAGATTGCTAGAATCACCATTTGCAGCTTCCCACGCCTGACAGAAAATGAAAGCTCATTCTAAAGTCCCTAGCACTACGTGAACTGGCCCATGCCTACCTATCCCACCTCACTCATGCCACACTTCTGGTGCTCACCACATTTCTACTCCATAGTGCCATTACCTGGGATAGCTGTCACGATAGATAAGAGTAGGAGCAAACAAGAAGTACAAGTATTGGTTGACTGTGGGTATTGGAACAGTGCCTAGAAAAGGAAAACTATATTTAGACCAAAGGCTCTTTGATTTCTGTCAGTGGAAGTAAAAGGGGAAAATAAGGAAGCAAAGAACAGGGAAAAATAAAATGACCTCTCTTAGCTTATGTTGTTTTTTCTTGATCTATTAAAATGACTTATTCTTAAATTAATTGAATATTACCAATCTCTAAACTAGGTTATTCCTGTGACTGAGATAACTTCTAGAGTGTAAAGCAACAATCTGCAAAAGAGTAAGCAGGCACATGTGTAATGAGGCTATTAACATTCCATAAAAATAATGCAAAATTACAAAAGAGTCTAA